AGTCTTCTGCCTTCAGTTCACTGAAGTCTCAACGATCTTTGTGCTACACAAAGACAGAAATCACTTACACTCTTTAAAGAGACTACTGCCTGTGCTTATGAACAAAGTACACACTTTTACATATATCAGATTGCCTATTATGTAATGAAAGCACCTCCACATAATTTGTAACTGCATGACCTGATGAAGAGTATCACACAACTTTCTTAGAAGTGTCTTTTATCTTAAGAGATTACAATTCTTGTAGCTTACAAAAGTCTTAAACATTAACATTAAGTTTAATCTGAATTCCTTAAAATCATATGTAAATGCAGAATCAGGAAAAGTCAGCATGATACACTGTCCACTGAACCATGTATACCTTTAGCAAAATTGGATAGCAGGATACCATGGGTATATAAATGAAAGATCCACATTATGCCATTACAAACAGATTTTCTGTCCTTGAAATGCAAACATACTGCAAAATATCTGTGCACAAATAACCTTTAAAAGACACTGATTCTAAATTTATAAAGAGCATTAACTTGTGACCAGAGAAGTTACAACACATTTCTAAAGAACATGTATAAATCATATGACTAGATTATCAAATTCATTTTATCACACACTCATGAAGATACTAGTATATCCTGGTATACATCAAACCACCCGGATAAGGTACTAGATTAGGTGGAATGACCATAATAACAATTTTGACAACAGTACTTTGCAAGTCAAAAATTACTGGGCTCTTCTAACTATGAAAGAAAATCTGGAACTGCCTATCCATAACAACAATACAAAAGAAGAAACTAGCTCAAATTTGCTGCATAGCCGATTTCACACGAGTTACATTTTTACTATGATGTATCAAATAGAAAATCCATTCTAGGTAATTGTATAAAAGATTTTTAAAAATCAATTTCCTCACCTTTTTATCCAACAAAAGTTCTTACAGGCCAGAGCAAGTGACAATAAAATCTAACAACTAAGAGAAAACCAGCAAAAACCTTTTTCCCTCATTAAAAGAAATTGGAATCTAGTGAATCATCATTGGCCCAATCAACATCTCCTTGCAGCCTATCACTCTTCCCTCTTAAGAAATATTAATGGAATCAGAAATAACTCAAATGACTACCGAGGGCATCCAAACACACATAACAAATGATTCAAAAAAAGGGAATAGGAATATATGTATCTTCCAGCAAACTATAAAACAAAGGTAGAAAGTATAAATTCCCAGGATACTATAGTCAAAATTCAAGTGCCCAGCATTTATCCATACAAGATTCATATATTGCAGATTCACATACATACAATGAAAAAACATGCAAATGCAAACAATAACTCACACACTCACAACACATCACATACAGTCATAGCATACAAACATACATACATGCATACATACACACAACCACACATACATCCCACCATATAAAGACATAGTAGTTGGTACTACGCAACGGTACCATGTATGACTGTGGGGGAGGGAAGGGGGAATTCCAGTGGCTTTCAAATTACTAAATGTTGTTAGTTACCATTTCCTATGAGAATATTTATCATATCACAGCCCGATATCAGGAAAAATGATTGAAACCTTAAACATCCTTTGTGACACATGACAAAAAGGAAAATATATCTTCTTCATGAAAGATATCCACCTACCTTATCACATTGTTACTCACAAAAATTATAAAATAAAAAAAAAATACACCATCTGAGTTTGTGCAATGTGCAAATAGGAATACTTGCAAGTGATGTCATACTCAAGTTATAACGTAAAATAAAGAAAAAGACCACACAAAAGATCTCAATATTTGTAAATAACTAACCACCTCAAGAACTAAACAGATAATCCAGTAACATTTGTGTATAACGTAAACATTATTTATGTAGCACTATGGAATGAAGTGACTAATTACGGGACAGAAAAACTGTACTTCCCTAAGATTATAAACATGCAACAATATACAAACCATTAAACATGACAGGAAAACCTTCATCAAAACCTCACATTTCCAGTACTTGAGCATTCTCAAAAGAGTATAATGCAACACAAAAATCCCACTAGAAATGTGCATTTTAACAATGGCTTTCTCTTCTGACTTCTTAAAAAAATATTACAAACATACAACATATTATCATGAAAATCATAATAATACATCATGGTACGATTAGAGGGAAGATCCAAGGTTTTGGCTAATTTAGCAATCTAAAAAAATAAATAGATAAATATAGTAAACAAAATGCTAAAGCTAAACTTGGTCATTTTATAAAGGTACAATCAATACCCTACTTCAGATAACTGACAACAGAAAACAAATAGCCCTAAAGATAACTTATTCCCAACACTGATGAGGTAATAATAACACCAGTTTAGGGCAATCAATAAATTAATAAACAAAATCTATTAAATTGGCACAATAAGGACCAGAACACACCATTAGTTCAAATGAAGAGCATTGAAGAGCATTGCAAGCTGTTTATACCTGTTATGAGTTTAAAAAGGATTACA